GCATATTATACTTCATAGTTCGTTGCAAATTTGATATTCGCTATGCGCTGAAGTATTGTGTCTAAAGTTGATGGTTACGCCTGATATGAACCGGAGAAACCATTGTGTTCGCATTCTTATATCGTCCAGTCAAAAGCCATTAAGTCTTTCTCTCTCTCTCTCTATCTTAAGATTCATAACGATCAAAGTGCTGCCTTTGAATGTACCATTACGACGTAACGAATCGAAAATTAAAAATGGTCATTTCGGTTCTCGTAACAGCAAAATATGTGAGTCGTGTGCGCAATTTTGCGTACTCATCAGAGAAAAAAGTGGATGGCTGGTGAATGGGCGCAAGTGAGTGGAAAAGAGCCGAATAGATTCTATTTCTTTCTCGAAAGGGAGTTGAGAACAAAAAAATTAACTACAAGTGTCTAATATTACTTCCCTTTATAAATAAATGTATAGACCGAAAATTACATGAAACCCAAGAACGAGTGGTTAAATTCCCGGTTGATTTTTTTGTGTATCAAATGAAGAGAAAAAATGAAAGGATACAAAGTTCTCGAATACTTTACCATGTAATTATTATTTATTTTATGAGCTTATTAAAATGGTCGAAAAAAAAGTATGAATCAACAAGCAATATATACATTCAATAGTGTTTTTACTGTCGTTTAAACAATTTTAATTGATTGTCATGAGGATTAAATGGGATAAAAAAATCGGTAGATATAATGTACTAGTTAAAATCCGGATTGACTGTAACAAAAACCTATAAAAGGATAATAAAATCAATTAATTGAAAAGTAAAGCAATTTCAGTTCATATGTCGCATGCCAACGTTCATTTTTTTTTTTTCCTTTTTTTATCGTAATCGTAGTTATCTGAAGCCTGTACTAACACGAACCGCTATCCTATTACTCGTGGTTGATATTTGAATTGGTTTTAATAACGAGTATTATCAGCATGGGAAAAAAGTGAATTTACTATTTACGTATTTTACTTCAATCTATTTTTGGTTTTCTTTTCTTGTGTCACACTCACATCCCTGGTGGCTGAATTTTATTTTTGCTTCTTTTCTTTCTCATTGAATTTTTTTGTTTGTTTTGCGCTCAATCGAAAGGGACAGAATGTCTGAATACATGCTTTCAATTTTTCTCAATATCATCGTTATTTTGAGATGTAATCGTTTTCTTCAATTTTAGCTCGATTCTCTTCGCTTCATTGTGTTCAACGAGCTTTCGCACTGTAATGCCATCTTACTAAGACGAGCGCATTGTACGAGTTATAATGTTAAAGTACTAACTAATATGCTATTGACGTGAACTATTTGGAATGTAAAATACGAATATAAATGCGATAGAGCCAACAAAAATGAAGAAAATGGATGCAAAAAATGTATGAGATACTTTTTGTGTGTGTATGTGGCTGTGGGTGTGGGTGTGGGTTTGTACGCGCGCTTCTCATCTCGTTTTCTTTATTGCTTTTAGATTAGTTGCCTTGAATGTTATTGCAGTCGATTCAATGGTTCTATCATTATTATAATTTTGAGTGACAAAAAGCAAGACAACATAGACATTGGGAGCGCACTCCAGATTGAAACCGAGAAACGAGAAAGCAAGTGAGTAGAGAAGGAGATAGGGCGAGTGGTGTAAGAGATAGACGACGAGAAAATAAACGGAGAGTACGAGAGGGGTAAAAAGAAGCAAGCAGCTTTGCTTTAAAGTACTTTGGCGTTTCTTTTAGCTATTAATGTGTCTCATTTAATAGCTGAATACATGAACATCAAGCATAGCATGCTCTGAAGCGATGGAAAGTGGAACAAAAACCATTGACGGCAAAATACGACATGAACAAGACTTGAGGGATATTGAACATGAAAGCTCTCGTCGTAACATTTATTTCAAATTAATAATAGAAAATGATGGGTATATCGGGGATGAGGATAGGCGGAATGCACGTAATCGCTGTTGTTTTCGTTGTTGTTTTCACATTCAATCGCAAAGTGTAATTCAATTTTTGCTGCAAAAATTTATGTTATGGTTGTATTGCAATGCCATTTTGTAGTAGCAGCATACACAAACAATATGGGCTACATGGTTATTTGTTCACTCCATCGGAGGGGTTCCACTGAAGCACGCATTATTCTCCCATATATATTCGGTTTCGACAATGACACGAAATATTTCGCAAAATGCTGGCATTTATCGGCTACCGTCACTATTCATGGGTGTCCCGAATGCAAGAACTAGCGATTGAGGCAGAGCAAGCGAACGCGCTAACGTTGTGATGTACGTTTGGCTCTTGATGGATGAACCGGCATCCATGCTTATTCACGCGCGCACAGACAATCGAAACGACAAAACCATAAACAAAACGAATGGAATTGAAACAACATTTAAATCGCTATAAACCATTTTCAACCATTTTCAACCATTGGATCCATAATGCACGCATAAAGCGTTGCCAGACAAACGAATCGACCATCAATTTACCATCGTTCGGTAAATCAAATTCAAAGACTAAACGACGATTCACATTCACTTGAATTTCGGTTGAACGTGAAAATCGGTAGCTAGCATATGTGCAAATGCATTTTGTGTTGATGTTTCTTTTTCATTTTTCACTTGAAATTTGTTGTTTGCACTTTTCATTATCATTACTATGATATGGCAAGACATATTTGCAATCAGCACATTCAATTTGCTTGATTCAACTCAAAAGCGCACTCGCCATCATTAACATTGTATTTGCTGCATCTCATGGAATACATCGTATATATGATATCTATACAATGTATAGAATCCATAGAGTGCAGAGAACACATTGAACATCCTCTAATCGCATTTATGAAACGCTTATGCAATTTCATTTTTAATTAAAAGTCGAAGAAAATTCGCACGCACACACATTTAACATACTGTTTACTTCAATTATTGTTATCATTGCCAAACTGCTTGGATTGCGGTGTTTATGTTCTGTTTCGATGAATGTGTGATAAATACAAATTAAACGTGACGTCATTTAGTAAATGCTTGAACTAATATGTGTATTCAAAGTGTTTTGCATGCATGTTTTATCAAATTTTCAAGAGCAATAACCCATTAAACACGCATCGAATAGTTTTCAGCTGCAGCTCAGTGTAACCATCCTTTCAGACCTCCTCCCCAAACTTTTCCATACCAAAGGCTGCAAGTTTGAGCATGCATTAGAGTGATCCGATTTTGATTTTTTTTAAAGCAAAAATCGTAAATAAAACAGTAACTTAATCACTGTGAAAACGTGTAAATCTTATTTTCTTACCAATATACAAAATCTTAAAAAGTTTGAAGAAATTTCAATGAAAAATAAGGATACCTTCCATACAAAATTTTGTATTGGAAGTGTGCTTAATTTTGATTCAAACTTTTAAAATGTTATTTTTTAATAATAATTTATTTGTATGAAAAGTGTTTCGGAAACGTCACATTCGATTTTCTCCAAAAAAACCGCCAAAAGACAATTTTTTGTGAATTTTCAAAGTGCTTAATATTCGAAATACAAAAAAAATAAAATGTCTTACATCCGTAAGATGAACTTTTCCGAACTGTAATCCACAACATGCATTTATTACAAATCTTTTACTCAAAGAATTCACGAGAAAACTGAATCTGACATTAGTTTTACGATACAAATAATTTTCGAAGCACTTTTCATACAAAAACTACTAAAAATGGGAATTTTTGTATTGCAGCCATGCCTATATGATATCGTAATCATGTGAAAATTTGCAGAGGTTATTTTTTTCACAAGAAGTTGACATTCTGAAAGTTTGAAGAGAATTTCAATGAATATTGGGGGTACTTTCCATACAAAATATCGTTTTTGAGCGAAAAATCCAAAATTTTGTTTGGGAGGTACCCCTATAATATGCGTTGAAATGTCTTCAAACTCTCGCAATTGCATTTTTGTGTGATAAAAATAACCTGTGCAAAGTTTCAGCTTATTACGATATCATACAGGCATGGCTTCCATATATAAATTCAATTTTTTTGACATTTTTGTATGAAAAGTGTGTCGAAAGTTATTTGTATCGCAAAACTAACGTCATATTCGGTTTTCTCGTACCCAAAAACCCCCAATACACATTTTTGAGTGTTTAAATATCACTTTTGGAAGAATTGGGTACAGGGTACAGGATACAGGGTACCACGCACATACATTCGGACATCGATAAAGACTGGATTCGTGTTCTCTGGCTCCCAGAAAACATGTTTTTTGAGGGTGTTAATTTTTCAACCGATTCCAATACTTTACCTTACACACTAGGTGTGTGCGGAAAAGTAAAACCAAAATTGCTGGCTCTTGTACACGGGGACTGACTATTTGTTAAATTTAGTTAACCGTTTGTTAACTTCAATCAATTAAAGTAAGCTATGGTTAACACCTAACTATAGTTGACAATAATCATAGTCACCCGATAGTCAAAACGTCCCAAAATAATCGCCTGACTGACTGAGTAGCTATAGTCGATTGTTTTCCACTCGGGTCGTTTTGGAAATCCATTTTTTGAAAGCTGTTGTAGGAGCTTTAGATATGATTATTGTTTTTCAAAAAGACGTCAAAATCGAACCACTCTAATGCTCATGCATGTGATTTTCCGGCGAGATATTACAATTTATCAATAAAATATTTACGCAATATAAAGTTTATTATTTGTATGAGCGATTTTCAATGTTTTACATATCACGCTTATAAAGTTTATAACAACAAATGCATATTTTATAACTTAAAACAAATGAAACAAAACAACGAATGGATATTGTGTGTTAAATAATGTCGCATACATAATGCGAGCACGTTGCCCGGTTTCGAAACATTTTGATCATCTTTTCATTTTATTTTCTTCTCCGCCCAAAATGCGGAACACGTTTATATGAAATAGATGTAAAGATATATCGATTTTGGTGAATGTTTTTGCATCTCTCGATTTTATGCATGATTGTCCTTATATTTTATGCGAGCATATAAATACTTACGTATATCAAATCCTTGTATTATATCTCCGGTCGGAGCGGCTGCAAATATATATTCGTGCTCATTCGCAACAAATTTCCGAATACATCCCGTCATACCGTCGGCGACAGGAAGACGTTTCGCTAATCCAGTTATATTACCAGTACCGCCAAGAAACACTGGTTCACGGAACGTAATGCGTGAAAAGAGTCCCTGCAATAATATAGAAAAAAAACAATAGAGAAATAAGAGTAATGAGAAAGGGAGAATTTTCTTTTAAACGATGTCGACACATTTTCAAACGATGAAAAGTAAATTTCATTCGTCGAATAAAATCAAATGCAATAATAACAATTAGATAACAATTTTCAGTCTTTGGCAAATTATGTTAAGTGATTTGAGGGTGTTGTGGCGGTTATATCGACAATTGAAGAGGGAAATTTAAATGGAATTTACAATTTGCTTGCAAAAACTCACAAATCTAATCATTTGACATTAAATGAATGGGAACTTCCTTTAGTAAATGTTTATTGGTTTTGAACGATTGAAAAACGTTTTGAATTTTCCAACATTGATTTCGCGAAAACGTTTTGGATTTTCCAGAATGGTTCTTCCCTTTATTTTAGAAGTACGTTTTCTTTCATTTCGACTTAATGTATTCGATGCAAAATCTATCTTCAGAATACACAAACGACCATAAATATTTTTATCGACACTTTCAAAACGAATGGAATTTAACCACAACAACAACAAATGCAATGAAAGTTCGTGTGGACATTCATGTGGTTTTCATTGCAACGTGCAAAAATTTATTTATTTTTAACTTCAGTGTTTAATGGCATGATGTATCATCGGGTCATTTCGATTTTTATTTGTAATTTGAAATCGATATATGTGTGCATTTATATATTTGATACACGGGATTTTTGCGTTTGTGTTGGCATCTGCAGTAAAAAAAGATATAAATAAATAAAAATTTCATTTGAATTTCCCATCATAATTCGTAGAGAGGGTACAATAAAGATAAGCCGTTTGTAAGCACACCTAGAAAATCTGTTGTTTGCCTCGATGGAAGTGTGTGTATGAATCAATTTCTTATGTCAGAATTTTCCTTCGATATTCCTTCTTTGTACACTGAATAACATACAATTCTCAATCACGACATTTTCAGACAGAAAATGGAAAGAAATGTGTGTGACAACAACTTGGTAATAATATGATGGAATTGAATGAATGATTTTGGAAAAAGTTTCGGTTTTTATTTGACATTATTCGCAAGAGCGAAGACGAAGATTTTTTTCTCTTCTTTTACATTTTCCATTTCCTTATCATTGGACCGTATATAAACACGGTGCCCGTGCCACCACAATGCGAATTGTGTGGGTGTATTTTTAATGGCGGGAAATCGTATAATAAAACACATTAAGAGCGTAAGAGTGAATGTTCATTTGTGAGTGTTGTTTTCGGCTCGTTTCGACGATCATTGTGTGCGTCCCATCAACAGTAATCTTTTGAGTTTCAAGTTTGCAAGTTTTAAATGTGATGTGCGTATGCTGTTTTTCTCATTGATAACCTTACATTTGACTCAAAAATTCAGCAACATTAGTGAGGAAAAAACCATGCCTTTTGAAATGTGATAAGCAGGATAGAGATTTGGCTAGAGAATTGGATATACCGGAAACATCAACTATCAATCCGTTTGAAAGCCCAACACAATGACGACATTTTTCAATTCGAACTGGGTCACATATTCATATGATAAAGGTATCGATTGAAAAAGCAGGAATTTGACGTATCATTTATATCCGCTTTCATTCAGTATCTTAATGTTATGTGAAGATGTGCATGGCGCAAAGAAAATCCATCATGTGGAATTTCCCCATCGAATTCCAGTCATTCGAAAAGAATGGGAATTGTCTTTAATCCACCGTTGTGTGCTCTACGTTTTTTATTATTATTTTTATTTTTCGTTCGGTCCCCTTTTTGTGTCTTTCCCATCATCTCGCTCCTCACACACGTACGGAATTTATGTGAGCTTTTTTTTTTTAAAAAAAAGAGAAGATCTTTCATACTGTGCGCTATCACTTTTAATTCAATTTAGCACATTTCATGAGATTTGCATACGTATTCAAAAGCACTGAAACGCAAATGATTTTCTAACGACATAGTAATTAAGCACCGGTTTGAGTATGCAGCGATTTCATGTAACGATGATGCTTTCGTGTTGATAACATTTTAAAAAGTTACATAAATGTTCAAACGGTATCATAAATTTGTGAAGGGAATTTAATGCAAACGAAATTAAAAATCAAGTGGAACACAAAACTAATGAAAGTGAACAAGCGACAAACAAACGAACACGCACACAACTGTAACGACGCGCGAAACGAAGGAACTAGACATAAGTAAATGCAAATGTATCTGCAATTTCTCTTGCGATTAATTCCACATCAAATAATTAAATAGTCTTATTATTTTTCTCTTTACCGAATTTTATTACCGTTTTTGTTTCAATTTTAAATTTTATTTTCCTGTGCTCGAGCATAGATAGCAAAATTGGCTGTGAATTTATTGTGAAGCAACCAAACAGGCAAACAACTATATATATTTTCCTCATATTCCATCATTTATTCGCCCGAATACTCAACTTTTCTCAATGGCACTACCGTCTTCTCGTATTTGCATCTAAATAATGGTGGTACACGGTTACGACTATTTGTTCAATTTCACCTACCATTTTATTTTTGTCATCCGTTGCAAAAATGATAACAGCCAGAAAAAGACTATTTAATTAGTGCATTGCTATAGTTTTGTACGGCTAATAGTGCCGAAACTTAAAAAAAGGGGGAAATGAAGGTACAATAAACGAAAGTCATGGAAATATGAAAACAAGTGTCAAACAACGCCCGGCAACACACTCTTTGTAACTATCAACGCTGGTGGATATTTACGCCATCTTCACTTTTTCCATTATTGAGAGTGTCTCTTCTATCGCCATCCTTGACGTTGTATTGTCCCTTTAAAATTCAATCATTCACAGATCTGTGGCACACACAACAGCAAAAAGTATCGACGGATTCTCGCCAGCTGCGAATTACTGTTATCAAGTTTAGATTACATCCACAAAAGAGCGACGCTTTTTTTGTCATGAAAAAGGCAGGTAAACTTGCGTTTTTTAGGCAGGTAAACTTTTTTCCCCACCTTTATTCGTCTGCTCTCTCTCTCTCTCGATATTTTTTCTCTCTCACTCTCTGTGTCGAGAGACAGGCATCGAGTGGCAAACGTCATGGAAAAGTAAGGTTTAAAAAACAGCGTTAGAAACACTGAATATTTCTTTTTTTCTTCGAAAGTGGTAAGAATTTTTTTTAAATGTGTAAATTAGCTCTGTTTTACACCATGGATTTAACAAGTTGAAATCAAAGCCCGCAACGGTAAAACCTGACTGATTTTTTGCATTTGCATCGACTGAGTAAGTGGTTAAGCAAGCGCACTGTCACTCGCGCGAATCGAGCTGAAAGCTGCCCAACAACCAAATGAAGAGTGAGAATAGCTCATTGCCAACACTTGAAATATTCATGCTGATCTTCAAACTGGCAATGTGTCACCACCACTTTTCACAACTTGCATCCTTATCGTCCGCTTCTTATATATATATATGGCTATATGTATAATTTTAGTTGTGAAATTTCTTCCGGCGTATTGAAAATAAATCTTTGCCTTCTTCTTCGCCATTGCCTTTCCAAATGCTATGCAGTAATATAGACGCTAAACACGGTATATAGCAACGAACATGGAAAAATAGTCAGAAAAAAAAGGATATGCAAATGAAGAGGAAAAGTGTATGATTGGAAATTTGCATTTATTTTGCAAATGTTACCTCTGCTGCAACAGCATATATATCTGGCACACATAAACAGGTTAATATGCATGTTTCTCTACACAATAAATCATAGTTTGTTTCCAACGAAATTCAAAACACTATTTTTACGTGTGCATCCAGTTTTCAGTTGGCCAACTGATTGAGGAAAGTGAAATAACATACCGGTACGCCTTTGTTCAAATTGAATTGAAAATTGAAAAAAGGTTTTTGCTTTTATTTGCCGAAATTGAAACAATTGTTTTCATTTGTGGTTCGATTGAAAAATTGGTTGAGAAAATAGAAGATAGAGAGAGAGAGAGAGAAACGTAAAGCTAACAGAAATGATGCCAATAACATGTGCATAAGCCAAAGCACGTATTTTGAGCGATTTTATTTGGTGCATTTTTGCAGATATTTTTTTTCTATCACTTCTATTGTACGAGATGCAAATAACACCACGAAATAGACTTCCTCAGATTAACACATTATTTTCTTCTGCATAAGATGCAGAATTTTGATCAGTGAGCTCTTCATTTGATTGGATTCTCCTAATTACTAATTATTTCAATTGAATTTTTTCTTCTTCCTTAAATTCAAAAAGAGAAAACGGAGATAGAAAGAAAGAAAGAGAAAGAAATTGGCTAATTATTATAACATCATGTTCAAGAATCGAGAATACATTTTCGAATGCTGGCTGCATGTAGAACGACTAAAAGAGAAATTGGTGTTGTTTCTAAACGAAATGGATCTTTAATTAAAGCAGAAACCTTAAAACCATTCGGAAATGTGGGAGTTTGTGGATATTGCGATGATGAAAAAATTAGGAGGGAGAGAGAGGGATACCAAAAATACAGCACACACTATGTTTTCATGTATCAGAATTTCGTTTGCATTCATTACATTTTAATGTTACTCTATTCTTTCTCATAAATACAAGATCATTTTTTTTTCTTCTATATCTTACTCTTTTGGTTCGCTTTATGTGTCAGCTTTTCTTTACCTTGCACACACACACACATGCGAAACGCGAAACGGCACACTGGCAATTGGAGATCTCGGCACTCTGGTGTGTGCTCAATGCTCACACCCATGAGTGAGCCACCCATTGTAGCATATATATACTCATAGTCATAGGACTATGAGTATGTATAATGTATAGTATATGCTACATTGTACCATTATGAAGTGTAGAGCACAGTGGTGCTGATGGGAATAATAATGATAGTAATATAGCAGCATGGAATAAAGTCCGTGTTTAATTTTGGATGGATTTTACAGAGTGAAGATGAAATGCAACACAACGCATATTTTAACACAGAACGCAAATGCTTTAGCCATTGCAACCATAACAACA